TCGGTATCGCCACAATGGTATTACTATCCTCAGGTGATGTGAAAAGATTGTATGGCCCTCATGTAAGTTTCGGTTTTTTTCATTCAATAATTTCTTAGATATATTATTCCCATTTCTTAGATATTTCTGCGCAGCAGTTAGATATTGGTCAAATTTGTATACAATTTGAGAATTCATTCGTTGCTCTACAAAACTCACTTATGATGTTCACAATATGTATGGTCTTGCGAAAATGTAAATAGTTCCTTGAAGAAGAAATGGCGTTGGAAGAAACCACACTTTCGACTCGTACATTTTTAAAAAATCGCGACTTCTGGTAGAAAAATCATAAAAATACGGTTTCATTATTGCTTAAAATCTCCCGACCTGATATTTTGGCGATAGCCTAACAATAGGACGAGAAGTCTGGGCTATCGTTCAGTCAATTCTTGAAAAACACTACGCTATACAAAAAAATGCCTATAGGGGGAATTGGTCGGGTAAGATGATAATCATTTGGACCAGTTCGTTACGGAGACCATGCCTTTAAAATAGTTTTTTCGGAGCGGATAATCCGCTTATGTGTGTAGCAATTTGAAGGCCAGAATCAAACTTAATGTATTATTTAGCAGGCCCAATGTCTTTAACATCAAATAACAAATACGAGCGCATTTTAATTTCTTTGGCATAGTAAAAATAGGCTCCTTCAGATGTAAGGTGCCGTTTTCTGTGGTTCCGGCATTATATTTCTCGCTTAAATGTAGGAGCGAAATCAAAGAACCTGGTAAAACGACTAGCGAGATTGTGTAAAAAGGGAGAGGCTTTTTACACGTGGCTCCTAACTAATAAACTTTGGAATGTTTACGGAACTGAGGGTCTGGAAAAAAATCGTGGAAAATTTATAAACGCATTGCACAAAAGCGAGCTTTATTACGTTCAAAATAGCAATGCAAGGCACAAGTTTAGCTCAACGCTATGGGAGAAAAAAACTCTCTTTTTTGAACGTAACTATCGGGTGTACAACTTAATTCGGTCCGTTTTT